ACTTAACTGTGATGGGAGCTATTTCGATATGAAATTATTATAATATTATTTGGTGACGCCACAATATACCCTACTGTTCGCTGATGGCGCAAGATCAGGAAGATATTGAATATATGACTAGGAAAACAAAAGAAGATTATGAGAAATGGGGATTAAACCACAACCTAGAAAAAACAATATACTGCACTCTAGGCAGTACACATGACGTATTGACTATGGAAACTTGAGAAATAATAAGAACAGAGGACATAAAGTACTTGGGAACAACAATAGGGAAACAGGGATTTTATGGAAATAATGTGAAACCCGACTCATTAAAGGAAGAAAAAATTTAGGAGCCCTGAATGCAGCTATCTGTGATACAAATATAAGCAAGAAAACGAAAGTTAGAATATATAAATGTATGATTGAAAGTGTTACATTGTATGGAGCAGAAATATGGCAGCTTCCAGAACAACAGTAAAGGAAATTGAGAGCCCTGGAAATGGATTTTTTTCAGAAGAGCTGCAACAATGTCTAGAAGGGAAAGAATTAGAAACAAACAGGTTAAGGAAATAATTAATCTGCAACATGATATTATACAGGAATTGAAAAGAAACAACTCACTTGGTTTGGTCATGTACATAAGTACATATGTTCAGCGAATGGACGAGAGAAGACTCCCCTGAAGATCCTTAGAATGGCAATCAAGTGAAAGGAGAAAACTAGGCAGACCAGGATGGAACGACCAGATCAGAAAGATAATCGAGAAGTGGAAATTACCTCCTGGATTCTGGAAAAACGGAAGACCGCTACTTGAGTCTACCCGAAGTCTACCCGAAGCATGAGTACGCAATGCCACATCGCCAGACACGTGACACTGTGTGTCTTCCTCTAATCTACTATTACTACATGTGTCGTTTTCTTTGTCTTATTCACAATACCCACAACTGGTGGTTCTGGACATGCGTATTTTGAGAATAGATTGTCTCGACGGTAGACCACGATCTCTGGTCTAGACCGCTCGACGCTACGCAGTACAAGACCCGCCAAATTGTCAACTAAACAAATCATAATTTTCATAAATTGTAAAAATGCAGATATGTTTAGTCATTCGTATGGGTTGATGCGGATTGCGGTTTGAACGTCGAAAATACAAAAGAAAATGCGGAAATGCAGGACATCTGACAACACTGGTGGAATGCTTCCTTTGAAAATATTTCTACAGACTTTCCCTTTATTTCACGGAGTGTACGATAAACACGCTTATAGCGCTCCCTGTGGGATAAGGTATTGTTTATTCGTCCATGTTCCCCTAAATCCAACTCGTTTGCTGGTCCTTGTTCCCCTTACCAAACATTTGAATTATCAAAAACATTCTTCTAAATACTATTGCAGAGGAATGAAAAATTGCTTCAAAATTTCAAAAATTTGTGTTATCGTCGATTGTTTTATCCACATTTGACTGTATATTTAAATTCAAATTCTCAACGGCATTTTAAAAAAACATATTTTTGTATTTTGAAAATACTGTCAGAAAGGTACAAAATATGTGTTCAAATATGTATTTTCAATACAAAATACAAATTACAAAAGTGTCGAAAATACGTATTTTATGTACTGTATTTTTTACATGTATTTTCGATACTGCCCAAGTTTGTGTGCATCTAAACCGTGTGTGTCTTCCTTTAGAACATTTTTACCAGTCCCCGTTCACAAATTACAGCGAAAACAATTTTTTCGGGTGAACTTCACGCTTTTACAAAATTGCAAGATTTTGCCTAAAATATAGCAAACATCAAAATTTGAAGTGCGCTTCTCAATGGCCATCACTTGCGCAATTTTAATCACAAGCAAGATTATTTTTCGTTTCCCCTAACAGATAATGCCGAAAAACGTATTCCACTGCACCTGAAGGCGTGATACCTGGTCCGAAAAAATCGAAAACTGCAAATTTTATGTGTGAATTTGTTTGTCCGTTGTTTGACCACTTTTGCTCGCCCTTTAGAGAATTTTTACCAGGACCGGTTCAAACATTATGGACAATTTTTTTCCCACCATTTCTCAAAATTGCCAAGTTGACGAATAGAAGTTTACAATTTTTTAATTTGCATTCGTTAATCCATTGTGTGAGGACGTTTGCCCACCATTTAGAGAATATTTACCAGATACCGTCTAAAAAGTATAGTTAAAGACGTTTATTTAAAAACAAATATTCGAATTCGTTTGTTGATACATGGGCGGCCAAATTAATTCAATTTTGGCGCCACGCTTTTCAACATCTCAGTTTCGCTACTCTTTGACAGCATTAAAAGGCATTAGGTATTAAAATAACAGATAACACATTACATTGAACATTTAATTTTATGACAAAATTCTTCTAAACATTAATGGTAAGGTTGAGCTTGCTTCTATTGTTTAAATGTAGGTTTAATATTTCAAACTGCGACTCGAAATTATTTTTAGACGTTCAATTTCGATCGCAACCAAACACAGGTTGGGCTCAGCTGGCGTGGGCACGGGAACTCGATCTGCGTGGGAAGAAAGATATCTTCGACCTGCGCTAGGGATGTACGTCGATGTAAAGGAGCCACACAAGGCCATTGGTAAAGGACTTGTCAGGATCTATACATCCATAATTAATTAATAAAATAAATCATATCACCAATAACATACTATGATAATACAAATTTATTTTGTGGACACAAGTGACACAAGGCTTAAAGTAAATCAAATCTGAAGATTATTTTTAATAAATCACCGCGACGCCCCTGCGAGCCGCGATGCACAGTTTGAAAACACCTACCCTGTACTTTTTGTCCTTCGGCGATTGAAGCACGGCCGACGAAAGAGACTTCCTAAGAAAGGACCATTTTGAGCTACTGCTTGGCCACTGCTGGCAACATTACTGCAGGTTATGTCCATGGTCTTATTTTGTCAGAGCATTCCTTTTTTAGTCAGTCAGTAAATGGCTTTATCACTATCTCTTGCAATGTCATCGAACCGAATGACGTTTATTTGCTTCCCGACCCGTCAGAGTGGTCCCGTCTTAGAATTATACTTCTATTTAAGTGTTCGAGATTAATTGGCCTTTTTTATGTAAGATGTTCTTTGATGACTATATAATTAAATACAAAAGGTAAAATGTATGACTCCAGGATTGTATAGTAATTTTTTAAAATAAAGCATTTTATTAACGCGTGTATTCCACCATTTTATTCAATGTATATTCACATCCAAGAAAATGAATTATACCAGTCGTACTCTACGATCAGCATTCGCCGGTTATCATGAATGACATCGTAAGTTTGAACGACCGCCGATTCCATATTATATTCGTATCGAGGCAATATCGATAGTAGCTATAACATGGCGGTTCGTTGTGTTCGTCATTGGCAAAAGTTCGTTTAGATCACATGCTATCCACTTGTTGCTTGTCTTCAAGGCTAATTCCATTTATAAGTAGTGACTTTCTGTAATCCTTAGGAGTTTGATATTTTCGGAAACAAGTTCGTGTTTTTTACGTCGAAAACTGTTTGACAGTTTTATTTGCGATGGATAAATTGAAAAGAGCACTAAGTGGTGATGACAGCCAAGCGGAAGAAGAAAGTGGAATTATGCCACAGGTATTTAATTTATTATTACAACTATTACGAATTTGTGAAGCAAGTTATGAAATAAAATTATTGTAATTTCAGTTAATGGATGCCACAACACTTAGCTGGTCCACGAGAATAAAAGGATTTATTGCCTGCTTCCTGATTGGCATTTTCTTTTCTCTATTAGCTTCTATATGTCTTTTCCTTAATAAAGGTATCACCACCTTCGCAATATTCTATACTTTAGGAAATATAATCTCAATAATGAGGTAAGAATTATTCAATGAAAACTTTATTATACAACACTTAATTAACTGTGTCATAATATTTTATTTTAATCCTAGCACATGTTTTCTTATGGGTCCTATTAACCAAATCAAGAAAATGTTTGCTCAAACAAGAGTCATTGCCACAATAATGGTGATTGTCATGTTTGGTTTGACATTATTTGCTGCATTGTATGTAAGTATATTTTAAAAATTCATTGGGAAGAAAAATGATAATTAACACTTAAGTATTACTCATGCAACTTTTCTTGAATGGTGACCTTGCCTCCCCCTCTCTGGCACAATAAACAGATTACTGCAAAAGCTTGCAGCAAGCACTGATGACAATATTCCAAACACATCTTCACTTGCACAAAATAGAAACAATTTTCTTTTGAAGACAAGAACTTCTATCCTTTATTTTCTCCAAAAAAATTTCAAGAAATGACCAAAGCAGGTAAAGATCTATCACAGAAGATAACTTGAACTCCTGAGATAGTTAGAATGCAAATTATTGAGAACGTTGCGAATGTATGACTGATTCTCCAGAGATTGGCATTGCTTCATAAAATCCAGTGGCTAATTTTGTAAGTAATACTCCCACTCTCTCCTCATTTCTTAAATCTATGATTCAAGAAAAGTTGCATGAGGTTAATGTACTCAATTTTGCAAAAATTTGTTTCTTATTTTACCTTCAAATGTTGAAGAAAATAATTAAATTCTTAGTATTATACATGTACCTTTATACTTGTGCGTTATTTTTTCAGATGCATAATGCAGGTCTTGTTTTACTTTTCATCATCCTCCAATGGCTTGCACTAACATGGTACTCGCTGTCGTACATTCCTTATGCACGTGATGCATGTAAGAAGACAATATCTGCTTGTATTGCATAAGAGAAAAAGGCTTTGAATTAAGTCACTTGTGTGTATTATCTTGCATTTTGAAACCTTGTCGCATAATAAGTAGGTCACATTTTGTACCGTCGTGCCTAAATGTGTAATCCTGTGTATGTGCTAAACTGTTACCCCAACCTTTCGGGTTTGGCAGTGCCCTACGGTTAAGTTGTTTTAATTGGTTGCTGTTTTTTGCACAGTTCGTCAGGATATCTTGTGAAGATTTACTCCTGAAACGTGATAAGATTTGAGCATATGTATATATGAAGGAATGTGTCTGAGAAGGAAGTATGTAAAAATGACATTAATATTATTGTTGTTAGTTAATTAGAAATCATTATTTTTTTACTGTAACATAAATTGTGGTCAAATTGAATTGGGGGAGAGGGGAGTGATTGCAAGTGTAAAAATGTTCTGAATGAATGATCAATGTACTTAATTGTTATTTCTAATTAGTATATTTCTTTATCATCAGGACCAAATACCAGTTCTCAAGTATTAAAATCTGTTCTGACATTGAGGTAATATATTAATAGCCTATTTTTTTTATATTGAACTGAGGAGCACTGTCTTTCCCTGCATGGTGTCAATTATTAAATGTGCATTATATTGTAATGTGTCCATCCACGAGTCTATTTAAACACTTGTACTTTTTATTAATATGGCATATATATTTTTGATGTTTCTCTGGTAGATCATGTAAGACCAGATGGCTTGATCTTGTTAACGTGGGATGTACTAAACTTCAGATTTGTTCGTTAAATGGAGTACAAATGTAGTTCTGATGTTGAAAGATACTATTATAGCGCTTATTGTAAAATCTTGTTCCAACTATATTAGATGAGTGGTTCAAGAGCTTGGTCTTCCACATGGTAATTTGGTACCACTGTTTAAAAAAATGTTCATATGCACATTGTCAAAATAAGAAAACATTTATTGCAATACTAAGTATCAATGTATACATTAATTGAGATTGCTCAGTGAAAAGTTAATATTTTGTTGAGTCGTGACCAGAACTTTTGGCAGCAGCTGACATCTGCAAAATATTCTGTGCTTGGCGAAGTAGAGGCATATCAATCATATGACCTTGATAAACAAAAGCTCCCTGCAACAGCAAAAAGTAATTCTTATTTTGCAGGGCCACTGATAATATGAAGTTTGCCTAAAGTAATTTCTCTAATGAAATAAAAATATTCGAGAACTATTAAAACTGGGAATTGCTAATAGTTTGCTAGTAAGCAGGAACAAATAATGAATTGAAAATATAGAAAAATGTATTTATTTTTGTAATATTAATTATACTCAATAGACTGCGGAGGAAAATTATTCTGTGAATGTTCTACAAGTACTGTTGTAGGTGCTACTTTTCTGTGTTACAACTTAATTGAAGACAATATGTTCATAAAACCCTACTGGAAGAATTGTCAATTACTCTTCTAAACTGTCAATGTTGATATATTTATGATTGTAAATATAGTGTTCATCTGGAAACATTGTGATTACCTTGCCTGCTGCCTGATGTTCCTGAAATGCTGCAACAAGTCCTTGTGCCCAAATCACTTGCTTTTCAGAGGGAAGAAAAAGTTCTTGCACAATTTGTACTTGACTAGGATGAATAATTTGTTTGCCAGTGTACCCAAGGCTTGCCCCTAGTTGGCATTGTTTCTTGAGACTTTCCAAATCTGCAAATTAAATTTGGGGATGAATTAAAGCAGTATTTTCTCATCTTTTAACAGCTTTTTTCACCTTTTGTTTTTATTTTTCATCTTGTTGGTACATAAGTGTCTTGGACTAGTGTTGCTTCTAGCTAATTTGTAAGAATTTTCATAATGGCTAATTATGAAACTTTTCAGCAAGGTTATAAATATGATTGTGATTTCCAATATCTTCTTATTGTTAATACATTACTATTCACTGGGTGCCAGAGTAATTGTCTTAATTTTTTAGTTTAAAACAAAGAATCAAGTGAAATAATTTGTAATTGTTGCCCAAGGTTGTTTTTTCCCAATACACTCGCACAATATAGTCTCTGCTAAATGAACAATCTTAACACATATTCTGATGTTGCACTAACAAACAATTAATAAATAAATATAAAAATATACATAAATAAATAATATAAATAAATGCTTTTCATTCATACCAGGGTGTAAACTTGTCTTCATTGCATTTTGAAACCTGTAGATAATGTAATGGAATGTGTGAAATTAATAATTCAATTTATAACTTTATTACAATGCTGTTTTTTTACTATATATTACTCAATAAAACTTGAACCTTCAATTATAGTTTTAGAATATTGTTTAGGTATGTAAGTGCTTACATAGTTCATTATTGATAATTTTCAACAATATTGCATTTATGGAACTTTGGGATTAGTGAGTATGATCTGAACATGGTAGAACAAATACAATTCCAATGTAAGCATTGATGAATAGACATGTAATTACAGTTTTAAATTTCCGTTCCTGATATATTATTATTTTGTCTTGTAGATATCCCGCATTGTTTCACTGCATTTGTATCTACTCAGTGTAGATTTAGATTTCTGTAATATCCGACATAGATTTATGGCCGGAACAATAATTGTGATTTATATATTTGTAAATTGAATATCAATGTAATTTGTATTTAAGACTATGAATTACATTTTAGCTAGGAATAAAAATAACCATTTTGTAAAAGTGAATATAAACAATGCTTCAAGAGTAATTATGTGTCTCCCATAAAAATTCTACTTATTTGGAAATTACAGAAGAATATAAAGGCCTCTATCGACTCCTGAACTTCTTTTAATATTGGAGGAAGATGACCTTATCGCTGAAATACGTCTCATGGTGTGTAAATTCTTTCTGTTTTCGAAACGACAGAGGGATGATCTGGAGGAAAAAGAAGAAAACTTGTTGATAGTTGTCAATGGCGGTGTAGGGATACAGGAATAGCTGGTTCAGGGCAGCATTTGATGTCATTGAAATGCCTCTTGATCGGAAGGCCCTAGGGTTCAAGTCCTGATGGTGGCAGGGTTTTTGACACTTGCTACATAGCTAGGATGAATTCAGCAGCTGTCTAAGAGGAGAATTCTAGTGGCCTGCTGCTCTGATCAGTAAATTTCTTAGTTTCTGCAATCAACACAGGTGAATGCCGGAACAAAACACTAGCAAACAAGCCAAGGTATGTGCACATTCTTTCCTTCCTCACCCCCCTTACACACACTACACTACCCACTTGCCAGGAGTTCAGAGCTTGACTTGGCTAAGGGGGTGCCCCTACGATGGGAGATAACTGGTAAGGGAAAACTCCACAAGATGACAGACAGGTCGGAGCCAATCTCCCTATCCAGCGGGGGAAAATCACTGCCACCTTCCATGATAAAAACATGTATTACACACTACTAATGACCTTAGCAATTGACATCACCGGAACCATCAATCTTTGCATGTTTGAAACACATTCTGTAATAATTAAGGGTACTTTACACAAAGCCCCTGGGCGATTTTCAAATTTTTTGAAAGAACAGAGTGGAATATACTCATGAAGATGGCATAGGTCCGATTTTCATTGTTAACTCTGAAATTTTGGAAATTGCGAAAGATTGATTTTTTACTGTGTGCTCCTACAGATAAAATATTGAAGATAGCAATTATTTGTTCTTCACAATCAGTTCTTTCATTCATCATAAATGAAAGGATCGGAATGTAATGATTTGAACATGGGAAATTAGGTTGTAGTACTACTGGCCACAAGGCCACAATAAAGACCTTAGAACTTCCCCCGACAAACATAATTAAAAAAACAATGAACATGTTCATTGAGCAACATTTTTATATAAAGCAACAACGTAATCTCCAGGAGTGAAATATCCAGATATTTATGCTAAAATGTTACTACTTTCTTGAATTTGGGTCACCCGACCTTCCTAGCAAAGACATACTGTTGTTCCTATTATTATTCTCTACCTAGGTTTTAGGACATTAAAATTGAAAATTCGGGTTCGTACACTGTAATTTTTTGAAAGGGTTTACAAACTTTAATTAAAATTATTTGAATAAATTCATAAGATTGATTAATGTTAAAAACTGACAGGTTATGGAAATTATTTAATAAAATGTAAAATGAACTTACAATTAAAAAATCAATAATTCCTAATGATTACATGATATTTCTTTTAATGAAATAATGAGTCATGGAATTGGAATAAGAGAAGTGAAACCCCTTAAACGTTTGATTTCATTATTTATTTACTTTTAAGTGCAATTTGAGTTCAATTTTACATTTTTAAAACTTATTTGTAACTTTTCTGAGGCTTTTGTAGAAAAACAAATGTTCCCTTCCTGTTTCTTTTTACTCTCGAGATGGAAAGTCTATGATTCCTTTATGTAAGTTTTGAAAATTAAAGTTTGTAATGAAACACTTTTGTCAAATGATTCAGTGCATTGTCGTCTGAACGAAAAGTTTAAAAAGAAAATTTGGATCTGCTTTGCTGAAAATATTGTTGACATATTTTGGCAAAATCAACTTAATTTGATTCCAATTTACACCAAACTAATAATATTTAGAAAAAAAAAAACCCACATATGAAATCATTTATGGTGTCAATATTGTTTGTACATATTCCAAAGATAAGAGTTTTAATTCAATTTGAACTTCTACCGTATGCATAACTGTTATGTTATATGAGCTTAATATAAAGTACATCCTGAAAGTTTAAAGATTTGTCTGAAATTCACAGGGCCTCAAACCACATTGATCAGACAATATCAAATTTTGAAAAATCCATTTGTATCGTTTAGGCATTAATGCTGTTAGTCAATAAGTGTGGCACCATCATCCAAAACAAAGGGTTTCTTAATTAAATATATATACAGGGACTTTTAGTTCAAAATTTCATTAAATAACTTTGTGCCACCTAGAGATTATTCCCTTTGATGGGGCTAAGGATAATTTTTAACAGACTGTTTTTTAGTGAATATTGCATTTAAAAATGATTTTAAATTAATTATTTTTTATTAGCATTTATTTATTAATTTATAATTACTTACATTGTTTTACTTGTAAATTAGTCAAAACTGAATTTCTATTAACAATGGCATGAGTGGGAGATGCAGCCTAGCAGTGAATTGAAGGCCTATAACTTGCTCCATTCAAAGTGGGTTAAAACAAACAAAAGTACAACTGAAAACTGGAAAATGTCAGTCGAGAGAATTCATATTGTGCTTACTTTGAAATTACATTCAATTTTTTTGTTATTTTATGGTGATGCACCTGAAATACCAAGATTGAATATTAAATCATTAGATACTAATCTCTATTTTCTTCACAAATAGCAAATGTCGCTCTCTTCTACACCTATGTTAATACTCCAAATTGAATAGATTACTACAATTATTTTCAAAGTATATATGGAAAACTCAGGTTTTGCAGTAAAAATTGTCATGAAACTCTCTGCCAAGTAATTTTCAATTTCAGGTTTCTTATGTAAATACTACCTGATTTTTTCTTTAAAGCTAGTCTTTCATGAGAAAACACATTCTGAAATGATGGAAGGGAAGTAGACATCAACATACAAACAAAAATTTAATCAATCTCAGTGAACTAGAAAATTTAAAGATAGGATGTAAAATTAGTTAATGACATCCATATTCTCTTGTTTCTTAGATGCTCCTCCATCTATGTTAATGTTAGCAAAAACAATATTTTATTGAATTTTTATTTATTTCACTTCAAAAACAGTTATAAACTGTGTGTGATGTGTTACAAGGAGAAGTGTATTTTCTTAATTCTGGGGTCCCTATCCAAACAAAATATCTTATAGTTATTGATGGCGTTTGCTGAAAATAGCCCTGGAGTAAATCCTTTTGACCCAAACCACTGATTCGTAAATCAAGAGAAAGGTAATGGTAAAATCCCTAGATGAATAAAGAGAGGCTTATAACAATCATGTGAGTGGGATTTGCTTATAATTCGTGCAAAATTTTTTTTTGTAATCTAAGAGTCTAGGATCTTTATGAAGGTTTCCCGCAAATATTATGCTATATCTCAGGCGAGAATGAACATTCACGAAATATAAATAACGAGCAGTATGAAGGTTGACTGAACTGAATGTATAGCATAATGAACTTAATTTTGTGTTAAATTTATTCAAATTGATGTTCCATTTGAGGTTTGACTGAATTGAGAGACCTAATAGTTTTGTTACCTTAGCATTAATATTTGATTTGTGATCTGTATTTAAAATGTACATGTGTGCCTCCGCATTTCTTAGTGCAGATTTGAACTGTTGTTGAACCCTAGAAAACAAAAAATCCTTACTTCAAAGGAATGACATTAAAGAGTCAGTTCCAAACAATTGTAACAAATTCCTACACGTTCATTTAAACATTCCAAAGATTTAAGGGAACAGAGTGGCCACTTTCAGAAACGTGTAAAAATCAGGAAATTTCATAGCTCTGGAAAAATCAGGGGATTTATGAGAGAATAGTTAGAAGTTTAAGAAAGCTTGATTACTAAACTAGATATTATTAAAAAATAGCACAGAATGATTTTTTGTTTAATTTTTATTTGTTGAAAGCTGTTTGTTTTAAATTTTATTTTTATTGTTACTATTTTTATCACACTGAAATAAAAAAGCTGAGAAATTAGTTTCAGGCTTGCTTTAATATTTTCTTTAAATCCTCACAATACCACGCTGTGAAAGTTCCTTTGGAGGGGGTTTAGAATCAGTTGTTTAAATTTTGATTTTACTGATGTTTACGACCAATTTCATTAATCAATAAATTGATACAACTAATGATATACGAATGCATTAAGTGAAACAAAATAAAAAACAACAACAATCAACATAATTCAATTTCAATATCTGAATATAAAAAACTTATTGACTTCCTCGCATCAATATTCATATTTATCTAAAAAACTTATAACATTTTTGCCAATTTAAGGCTAATATATTTTCAAACCATAGTAATGTATTAAATTATCATATTATAGATAATTTTAAATTATCATATAACATTATATTATGACATAAATGCTACCAATATTTCCAAAATGTATTCTGAATTTTCAAGTTTTACTCCTGAATTTTTATTCAATCCACAGCCAAAACAAGTAACAACTTTAATTATAACCAATACTTGTGATGAAGTGCATTACGTTTTAACCAAAAGGGTCTTGATTATTGACTATCATTGATTTTCAGCTTTCTAAAAGTTGAACCTGTAAAAAACAATCGTTGGTGGGCCAGGTACCCTTCCCTTTGGTAATGCTAGGATTAGTGGGGAATCTAAATAAAAAAGGAGAAATTTTTTCCACTTTTTATTCACTGAGAATGAATGGTGTGCCACTGACTGATGTTAAGCTAACAAAATTTGTAGGTCTTTCAATTCAGCCAAACCTTAAATGGAATGTTCATTTAAATGAATTGATCACTTAATTACGTTCATGCTAAGCTTTCAGAATTCTTTTAAATTCAGTCAGCCTACACACTGCTCGTTGTGTATATTTTGTGAATATTTATTCCCGCCTATAGATGTCATAATTTTCTGGGGAAATACATCTCTTAGCTCCAAGACTTTTAGATTACAAAAAAGAATTGTATGAATAATAAGCAAATCCCGTTCACATGATTCTTGTAAGCCTCATTTTTATTAATCTAGGTATTTTACCATTACCTTGTCTCTTTATATATGAATCAGTGGTTTTTGTCAAAAATGACTTACTTAAGGGCGGGAATATTTTCAGCAAACGCCATTGTCTATAACTACAACACTCGATGTAATAATAATTTTCATCAGGAGACAGTATCAGCAGCTCACTAAAAAAAATTCTCACATAATACATGTACATTATTTTACACCTTGCCAAATGACATTAAACAATTAAATTCCATACAAAAGTAAGTTCTAAGTTAAATCTTTTCTGCTGCACAACTGTTTCTATACAATTAGACTATACCGAGCATCCAAAAGGAAAGTAATATGAATTTTAACAATGACATTTAATGTATTGAATTCCATTTGGATTGTAAATTGTAAAGGACCTGTAACAAGTTTTGTACTTCAGCTTCTGAGTCAATGACCCCCCCATCTCAATCAGGTTTTTGTCCAGTTTCCCTGATGCTTGAGCAAATGCGGAGATGACCCCATGTTTTGCTTCTGGTCATAAATGTAACTTCAAATTAACTTCTCCCCATAGCATGTCACACACAGTTTTTAACCGTTTTTAACGTAAATGAATCAAAACCTTGAACTAAACAGCACTATTTTCACAATAAATATTGCTCTAGATTTTTCTTATACTATATTATAGCCCAGACATGTAAAATGAAATAAGCTACCTGTCCTGTTGAGGGACTTAGAAAATGTTATGCTCAGTTGCAATCTTTGAAAACTATTTTAATGAGTCCCCTTAAATTGGGGTCATTGAACTTTTCACATCATTACATAATATATCTATGAATTTGCAATGTCCCGAAATCATTATGAGCAAGTAGTATACTGAACCATTGTGTACTTGACTGTGTGGGAGACACTGCATCCTGGGATAGATTATATTTTACTCGGAGGGAAGGTCCCAGCATGATGGCTGAAATGTTGGCCTCTGGGCGTAGGATGCAATGTCTTCTAGCCAATCAAGTAGATACTGACTCTGGGCACAACAGCTTATGCTTTTATATTGAATCATGTTATGGAATTATGAGAGTAAGACATTTATCTTTCAGATTTAAAGTTAACACTTATAAACTTGGCAAGATATGAACACCTCAAATATTTCCACCATATTAGCTTATGAAATTTCATATTTTACTTTATACTTGTATTACTCTTTACCTTTGAAGTTAATATGCACCATGTCTATGGCTTGCAGATGAAATGCTTTGGCAACAAGCACAAGTTTTTGCCTTGCATACATAACTTCTGTAGCATCTTCTGATCGTGTCACACCTACAGCAAAATGACTTTGTTTATTAAACAGCAGCAAATGAGTACTGCAATCAGAATGCATTCTAAACAGACCTATGCTTGCACACAAGTCATCACTGCCAAAGACTAGAGCTACTGGCTCAACGGGTTTCGATGCAGAAAGTTCTTTGGCTGTACGACATATGGCTGGCAAATTCAGAATAGCTTTTGCAGATTCAATGTAGATAATTAGGTTAATTTTCTTGTCTGAATTTTTCCCTTTTAAATGTGTGGACAATTTGTTGGCAAACTAGATAACATTATTATATTTTATTGAAGGATATCAAGAATATCAATCAACGAAGAAAGAATGACATTTAATACTTTACCCAAACCAAATGTTCTGACACATCAACCTTAGGCAGTAATACAGTTGGTGGAACAACAGATCCAGAAAATATACTAGATATGTCATCAGCGCAAAGCCCACTATCAACAGAATTTACCCGAACACTCCATTCTGGAGTTTGAGTTGACACTGGGCCTTTTGCTAATAATTTGGTTATAGTTGTACGAGCTGCATCCTAAAATTTTTTTTAATCACATTAGTTTCTTGTTTTGGTCAAAATTAACTGCAAAATGGTGATTATCACCTTCCGATTAACAGCTACCCCATCCTCGCAGTCCATTGCAACACAGTCCACATTGAGTGACAGAGCTTTATGCAATTTTTTGGAGTCATCTCCAGGGGCGTAAAGAACCGCTCGCCTGGGTGTATAATATCTGACCTGCAAACACACGGACATGTTCGAAATTACTTAACCCTACGAACGTATTATTCGCTCCCACGCTGTGTATATATACCAATGGAAGGAGGGAAAACGTTCTCCTAGCACTTGTAAAACGACTTCCTTGACCACAAATATTCATATCAATAGAAGAAAAAGATACCGAGTAACTGTTTACTGAAATTGAGAAAGTTTGGAATAAACTAAACAGCACAAGACATTAAGCACATGTACAATAAACTGACGTTGTTCCACATAACCTAAGTGGACTGAATATTGGTTGGGATACGATTCACACACTGAAATGTACCAAAAGTTAACTACGTTAAACCAACGTCAAAATAGTTCAGACGTTTAATCGTTAGTCATGTTTATAATACACGAATATTCAATCTTTATCGAAAAGACTCAATATTTACAAACACCTTTTGCGGAAAGGTTATTGCCAACTTCCACAACACAAAATAGCTTACTACCGAAAGCCCGTTGTGATCAATTTAATTTAAAAGCATACCATTTCGTTTTAATTTTGAATAATTTCGCAATAAATAACAATTTAATTTATTTCGGAACGATTAAATTTTAAAGATTACAGAAATTATACGTGGGATTTAAATTGTTTTTTAGTGTTGGTGATACTGTAAACGTCACTTTGAAATACTTGCAGCCAATCATGCTTGACTATACTTTCACATTTTAGCCAATAAAACGTCGCGACTTAATGAATTTAAACTCGAAGTTGCGTAACGAGCGTTTGGAGTTTTGCTGTTGGATGGTTACATAGCTGTTGGTTGGGCGGAGTGGTAGAAGGCAGAGAGGTCGTTGATCGTGTCGCTTTCCAAGTTCGTGAAATTGGGCGGTAAGAGTGTATTTCTGACTGTGATGAGTGTTTTCTATAGGGCCGGACGTTAAAGATATTCCTACCGTAAATCTTTGAGCGTACTGCGTTAACAATTTTTGCGTAAAAAGCGGTTTTTGCATTGTCCGTTGGCACCTGAAGTATTGACGTGATCTGTGGTTGGCCTCGTAACTTAGAGCGTGAACTCATTTTCAGTGTTGTTGGGGAGTGGCTTGAAGTTTCAAAATTAGTCTTTACTTACTATTCCGCGATTGTTTCAGGAACAATGCCTTCTCAGGAAAACGAATGTTCGAGCTCCAGGCTTCAGGCCTTTAAAAACAAAGGAAAAAACTTAGATGTAAGTATTCGTATCGCTTTCAATTAAATTTGAGTAAACTAGTTTATAACAAATTATTCTGTTTAGGAAATGCGAAGACGTAGGTCAGAAGTAACTGCTGTACTTCGCAAAGCTTCCAAAGATGATCAGCTCTTAAAAAGGCGTAATCTGAGTATGAGCAGCGGTCCTCTGTCCCCATTGTCTCCGTCGCACGAAAATACGCCATCCACGGCTTTCAACTCTGTGGAAGAAATTATTGAAGGTAAGTGCAACTTTGGTAAGGTAACGAGCAATATAAATTTCGAGTTTCTAAATTCTTTTTCTCTTCAGGAATGTCCAGTAGTGATGAGGGCGTTCTTCTTGCTGCTACTCAATCTGCCCGTAAGACCTTAAGTCGCGAGAGGAATCCTCCTATTGACATCATGATCAAGAGTGGTATCGTGCCCCGCTGTGTGGAGTTTCTTTCTTACTTCCAAAAGTAGGTTTCTTCTCGCTTGGTTGTACATCCTGATTTTTGTTTCCTAATTCATGGTAATTCTTTGCAGCCCTTCTCTTCAGTTTGAAGCAGCGTGGGCTTTAACTAATGTTGCATCGGGTACATCTGAGCAAACAAATGCAGTAATCGAGGCTGGAGCTGTGCCCAAACTTGTTCAGCTACTTTCTTCTCCATACATGCACGTTGCTGAACAAGCAGTGTGGGCGTTGGGTAATATAGCTGGTGATGGCTCTAAGCCACGTGATCTTGTTCTTAGTTTGGGTACAATGACAGCACTGTTGGAACTCATTAAACCTGATATGAATGTAATTACTAAATTTGTTTCAAAAATTTTATGCATTTAATACATATGGATATTAAACCTTGAATGTGGATAGAGCAGGCCTAATGTAGATTTTTTTTTTTTAAGGTGTCCTTCTTAAGAAACATTGTATGGTCTGTATCGAACTTGTGCCGCAACAAAAATCCTCCTCCACCTTTTGATAAAGTTAAGATTTGCCTCCCTGCACTTGAGAAGCTGCTTCATCATGAAGATTCTGATGTTCTTGGTAAAATGCAACAAAGTTTTAACTTTCCCCAGAGTTTTGTTTCAATTCTAAAAAAGGGTTTCTTTTGCAGCTGACACATGTTGGGCTCTGTCATATCTTACGGATGGCAGTAATGACAAAATTCAATGCGTATTAGACACTGGTGTGGTTCCCAAGTTGGTAGAGTTACTTGGCTCTTCAGAGCATGCTGTCTTAACACCTACTCTTCGTGCTGTGGGCAATATTGTAACTGGAAATGATGTTCAAGTAAGTTAAATTTTCTTAAAATTGTTTTTGTAACAAGTTTTATAAAGGAGTTAACCATTCACAAATTTCATTGCAGACGGATGCGATTATTCAAGCTGGTGGGCTTCGTTATTTACGTGCACTTCTTCACCACCAACGCTCAAATCTTGTTAAAGAAGCTGCTTGGACAATTTCAAACATAACAGCTGGCAATGCTGATCAAATACAAGCAGTATTGGAAGCTGGTCTTCTTGAACCTTTAATTCATGTTCTTCATTCTGTATGTTCATTACTTTTTAATTTTTAACATGTTTTGTTATTGGCTAGTTTTGCTAATTAGTTTTTCTTTAGGGGGACTTCAAATCTCAGAAGGAGGCAGCATGGGCCATTACCAATTTTACATCTGGAGGGTCTGTAGAGCAGGTGGTAACTCTTGTGCGGCAGGGTGTGTTGGAACCCTTTTGTAATGTTCTCGATGCTCCTGATCACAAGACAGTGGTGGTAGTCTTGGATGGTATTAACAACATTCTTCAAGTAAGTGAAAATTGCAACTCTAGTCTGTATACATATTTTCAGGGTATTTTACACAAGTCTTTTCTTTAGACGGCTGAGAAAGTGGGAGAAGCTGAAAGGGTTGCAATAATGATTGAAGAATGTGGTGGCCTTGATAAACTAGAGAAACTACAGAATCATGAAAATGAGTTGGTTTACCAAAAGAGTTTGGCGATAATAACCCAGTTCTTCTCAGAAGGGGTATGTACAATCGCTTGCCTTACTAGTCCACAACTTTTATACAGCTTTTTCTCATTTGGCTAGTTTAATTTCTATAGATTGTTCATTTATAGTCCTTGTATTATGGCTTTCTGATACTTTTTATTTTTTCCCCTCCCTCTGCAGGATGAAGAAGACGAAAATATTGCTCAGCCTGGTGAAGCTAATGGTCTTTTAGACTTCTCTACACCTGATCATGTGCCAGATGGGGGCTTCTCCTTCTAAACAAAATTTTCCTTCAAAAGGATTAAGACTGTTAAAATTACTTGCCAATTATGTGCTCTTTTTGTTGTACATTCTTGTAGATAACTTTTTACTATAATCTTTTTATTGTTATGCTGTCCCTATGGTTTATGTAAATATAAGATAATTGTGTGACATGACAATTTTCATAAAAATATATACTTATTAGGTCACAAACCATTTTTAAATGGAGATTGTGTGTTATACAATTTTCTTACATTCCTTCATTTCTTTTACATTTTTCTATGTTGTAATAAAATGTTTTGCATAATCTTTTTGTATTTCTGACTACTTGTAAAATCCAAATTAGAACACTGCAGTAACTCCTCCCTTCTTTAGGCAGATTTCTTATTCTTAGACTAAGTCTTGAGACTTGAATGGGATCAGAAACGGGAAATGTCGGTTTCTTTTGACTATTTTGTAGGATATTACATAAATTGAATTAATCATGTTGTGCAAACAATATAAGGGTGGTACTGTTTGTTCCTACATTGCATTCAAGCTCTTTTCGAAAAGTCGGGTAAACACTAAGTGAATTGTTGGACAAATAAATCGCAAACAAAAATTCTATGGGTTGAAAAGTGAATCTTTCAATTCAGATTGGATCAATATCCATAAGTCCCAATATTGGATCATATGCTTTATTTCAAGATTATCTTAATGCTGAATATTAAGTGTAATTTGTTTCAACTTGACAGTACTAGGTATTAGAGACATAAAAATCAATTTTACCGTTAATTTGTAAGGTAATTTGTGGGGTAAGCATGCCTATCTAGCTTCAAAACAAATGATTAGGATTAAAACTAAATTTAGGGCTATTGTTTTAAACCATTAAGTCCCAATGTTGTGCTTAACCTAAGTGTTGGTGTATTTATTTAAAAATGTTATTCAATATAAATTTCTTTCACTATTGCACTAAGAAGATATTTTGGTTAGTTTGCTTTATTCATACCTGTAAGGTTGGTAGCATTGAAGTTTATTTTTACATTCCTGTATACATGCTTATATTATGGAATAATATGTTGTGTAGGAAAAGTAATGTAATGTGCAAAGAAACAGATTTCGGTAGAAAAAATACATTGCTGGCCTTGATAACAAAAATGTGGATAAATCCAGTTGCTACGTTAAGCTAAAAAATCCTTCCAACTTGTGCAGCCAGAAGCCTTTTGTGAATCTTTGATACCGAAAAACCAATTGACGGCAAAACATCCGTCTGCGAACACTACTGGCTAACCATTAGTAGAATTTTTTTTTCCAAATTAATGAAACCCCTGACTATCAGAATCAAGTCGAAGCTTTGAGATTTTGAAAAACATTCTTTAAAATTCTTTAAAATTCTTCAAAATAACATGAAGCTACTTGGACATTTTAAAAAAAATTCTCAAAAGTGGCTCCAATTTTTTTCTTTTATTTCTTGTAACATGAGAGATAATGCACTTATAAAGTACATTTTGCCGCTTTCAAAAGGAATATTTTAATTACATTTAATAGTATGAAAGTTAAGTTCTTTAAAATAGTATTTACACAAGTGTTATAGATTTATTAAAAATAATATTATGTACAATATAAAATAAGGTACTTTACGAACTTTTAAACTTTCAATTTTTTTAATGATACCTACTCTAGATAAATGTTGCAGATTTCACCTTCAATTAATATCATTCCCTGATCTGTTAATATTACTTATCTAAATTTTGCTTCAAATAACCATTCTTATATCTACAGAGCAACTTTCTACTTCACTTATTTAATCAGTGCACCATAACTTAAAAACGGTACGAGGTATCAAAAAGTGTGTAAGAACATTTCTGTGTCAAAATTATATTTTCCGCCATATTTAATGGCGTGTCAAGCTAAGCCCAACCACTTTTGGTATCACCCTACATTTGTACATACGATCTTTAGCTCAACTCGCAACCCATGCCTAGAGATGCCACCTCTTGTTTTCGCAATTTGTCAAAGCATGAAATACCTTCGGCAACCCTTTCACTTTTAG